AAGGCACTTGTTACTACTAGTAATGCCCTTTGCTACTAGTAGCTTCTCGTTACTAGTAGTAAGGCACTTGTTACTACTAGCGTGGCACTTGTTCCTAGTAGCGATGCACTTGTTACTACCAGCTATCGGTGACCTCCACACGACCCGCCTCCGCCGAGGCGTGCAAACCAGGTCGGGCGAAACTCTTCGGCGCATGCTTTGGCGCCGTCAGACGCATGCGCAATCCGCGGGTTGGGAATTGGTGAGCGATGAACCGGAAGGTAGGCTAGCATCAAAGTTCTGCATTCTCGGAAGCTACCTAAGCTGGCGCAGAAATATGTTTAACAACAATCCCTTTGAGGTTTTTTGAGGTTGATGGAAAAAGAAACATCTTGAGGATGGCCTCTATGGCTTCATGTGAGTGGGTTGTGGCTGGAGGACATCCTCGGGTTCAGTGACCAGCGAGATTCTCCGTCCCACAAGAGAGAGGTTTCACCAGCTGCTCGCACCTTGTCAGTTCAAACCTCTGGCCAAAACAAGTGGAACAACCACACCTATGTCCTCTCTTCCATGGTCTTCGCCCGCGCCCGCAGATACTCATGCATCCATCAATAACAAGTCCAGCGGATGGCGCTAAGGTGACCAACCCATCACGGAAGGCGACATGACAACACCTGGGCGCTGATGGTTCCGATGGCACCGGACATCCGCATCTTTGCATCATGGTGGATCCAAGTTGGTCATGAAGGCACCTTTTTTGCCCGAGCAGTAACAATGTTCGCTACTAGGGGCTCCTGGCATCGCTTCTAGGAGCATTCTTGCTACTAGTAGCAAGAAGCTCACCGTTTTCGGAACAAGCCTGGAGCGGCGTCTCTGCCCACTTCACCATGCAAGTCATGTGGCATTTATGTGGCATCCTCCGAATCCCATGGAAATCACGGGAGGTCCTCTGCCCGCTATCTGAGGGTGTTCTGGATCTCTTGTTCATCCACTGTTGCTGCCTTATCAGACCTACATGATGATACAACCCTCTTCCTTGGACCCATGGCCATCGTAGGGCCACCCTGACGTCCCGATTCTGTTTGTCTCCCTTTTGTTTGCATCACCGAGGTACTGGAATAATTGTGAGCTCCAGAGTTGCTCAAGAGGAACTCTTCGACATTGGTGCCTGGGGTCTCGTCGCCCGACGGCGGGTCGCCGTCACCAACGGGACCGACGAACGGGTGCCATGAAGGCGGGCGACGCGGCGACGCGACTTCCGTGCTGTCGCACACGGGGAGATGGCGGCAAGTCGCTCACAGGCCGAGGTGTAGGTAACTTGGCAAGCCCAAACAGGATTGACTCTGTGTCTATGCCGAGATCCTGAAGTTCTTAGAAACAGAAACATCACAACCTCTAAGGACAAGAAGAGCTCTTGGCAACGGCAAACGTGTCACTACTCCGATGCTAGCAGTCAACCACAAAGTTCCTCTCCGACTGCAAACATCGGCACCGGATGCTTCACCGCACATGCCTCACCTCAGTTTAACCACCACTGACCACCACTGACGTCCGAGAAGCAATTGAGCTCCTTTTGAAAGAAGGGATGGTTCTTCACCTCGCCACCGCGGCAAGCCAGCAAGTATGCGGCAGTTGTTTGAGTGTAGGTGTGATTGTTTGGTAAGATGTAACAAGCATGCAGAAGGATCATCTGAATCAAACGTCAAGCAAACCTTTCTAGACGCATTCTGGTGGAATTAGCAGTTTCTTGCTTTTTCATGCTTTTTCTGCTTTCAAACTTTACGTCTCAATGTAGAACATCCAGAAACATGATGCAACATCACAGCCAAAATGTGCTCATTGGCAGGTACAGAAACCAGCTGATGAACTGGAGTCAAAAATCCAAAAAACACCCATGAAGAGTTGAGTAGTTCCTTTGACCGATCGAACTTTCAGGCTTCAAACAAAAAAAGTGGAAACATTCAGTGAACAGCTTAAGTCCGCATTTCCATGCTTTGAGACTGTATGAGGCTTCTTCACATCCCCTCCGCTCAAACCGAACTGGAAAATCGCCCGAAACTCTCCCCAAACTCCGTTCTCTCGCTGCGCACAGCGCCTCGCCTCGGGGCTTTTTAGCTCAAAGCGCCTTGCTTGGGAGAAGGGCAGCAACTTCTCCACCAGCAGGTGGAAGGCCTCGCCATGGCAAGTCGGTTGGAGGTGGGTTGGTTCCTAGGTTGGAGGCGACGCTCTTAGGACTGGGTGGATGGGACATCCGTTCCCAGAGTCGAACGTAGTTCCCGGTGCGGGTTGGACCGGAGAAATGGATGGCTCGTCTGGTGTCGCAGACCTTGTTCCGTTCCAGTCTGTCGAAAGGGCATGCGCCGTTTGAAGTTGGCACCGCAGAGTTTCAAGTTAGGGAGTTGATATGTATAAGGGAGGGATACAACTCCACCCCATCTAAGTTGCTCTTGCAAGCCTCCGACCCTAAGCTGGAAGTGCATACACGGCCACCCTACCCCGGTCCCACCCAGTGGACTGAAAGCCAGATTAAGCCGAGACAGGATCCAACACCAAGCCCTTACTTGCTGTAAATTCCATGTCAATCCCTTGTCAAGGAGTATCTTCCCAGATGCCTTCCTTCATCCTCGGAAAAAGTCTCGCGCGTCTCGCGCCTTCCGCACGTCGTTCGATGTGCTAAGCTCCACCGAGCTTAGCTCGTTGCTTTTGCTTCGTCCGGGGTTGCTCAACATGTCTCGCAAAGCCGTGGTTCCAGCGGCCGCAAAAAGGGTAGTTTGGTACCATAGTACCGATACCGTATACCTATATGGGTTGTACATGGTTGTGTACTTGTACATGGTATTCGCTCGATTAATCAACCAACCAATTGGTAAACAAGGCATAACAAGGCTAACAAGGCGCCGGACCTCCTCTGAGAGCCGCTGGGACAACTTCAGCTGTGCCAGCATGTCGGCGTTCTCTTGCTCGCTGAGGTGGAGCGGCAGCCTGGGCGGATGAGATTGTCATGACGATGCAATCTACGGTGCAGCAAAAAGACGTTCATTAAATTGTGTTCGGGCCATTTGGAAGAAGCACTCTCCACCAGCAGCAACCCATTTTTTGTCGGCAACAGCTGGATCGCCTGTCAGAGTTGGGCTTGGCAAGTTTTGAGAAAAGAATAAGTCTCTCTCTCGCTCCTTCTCTGGACCGGAGGTGACCCATGGAAAAGACCTTGCAGTTCCTTGCAGAAAGACGACCAACGGAGGTGACCAGGTCTCCACACATCATTGGCCCCTTCCGCTTCACCGTCTTGCGTCGAGCTCCGTCCTGTGGGGCGGGCGAACCGGACGTTTGAACCGTTGCCCGGAGGACGCGGCCCGGAAGGCTTCGTCCTTCCGAAGGTATGGTGTTTCCTTCAGGCTTTTTCAGTTGTGATTTGTCATTCGAAAGAATCTGCTTCAGGACTATGACTCTGTAGCACAGGAGCTTCAGATTCACTGGTTGATGCGGTCGCACCTTAAAACGGTCCCACCCACTGCGCTCCTCTCCAAGTAGAGACACTTGAAGCGTCACCCCAAAGGAGTACCTTGCCAACTAGGGACTGAAGGAGTAAGAAACCACGAGAAATCTGGTCGGTACAGGTGAAACAAAAGGAATTCACCGCAACACAAGCGTGGGGCAAAAGGGGTGCAAATCCGGCTTGAGGTGCGTGAAACATATATATATATATAAAAGGGCTTGCAATGATTGAACCGTCCAATCAAAGGAGTTGGGTCTGCTCAAAAGCACCAAAAGTAGGGGTGTCTCACTCGATTTAAGTGATACAGGCTACGCAAAAGTAGATGAAGACGCCCCATGTTGGAGTCCATTTTTCCTGGCCTAGCCAGAAAGATCCTTGCAATGTTCAACTCAACACTCCCCAGCCAGAATGTCTCCCAATTACAAAAAAACTAGATGCTTTCCACTACTGGTACTACTTCCATTCCGGGAGAATGACGAAGCCGAAACCGATCCACCGATCCCCCTTTAACTCTCTTGTTACACCAACCAGCGATCCGACCAGCGCCCCGGCAGCGCACGCATCCGTCTTGAACGGATTGAACTCCGGTGTGGGATCTGTGGAGGACCGCCGAAGGGCCACGAAACAAAACGAAAAACAAGATTTGTTCAAGAAAATAAAACCAAGGACGAGTGTAAAACCTCTTCTACCACTCGCGCTCACGAGGTCAGGCGTGAGACTCTGCCGCAAGCTACCACTTGCTGGCACCCAAATGTACAAAAAGGACCCAAAAAGGGTCACCCCAAGGACGAGTGTAAAACCTCTTCATATGTGGAAGCTTTATTAATTAAGATGTTCTACATTGCTGGGTTAATTCTTGGCGGCTTTGATCACCGCATTGTGGATTCTAGGAGATTCGAGGCGCTTCTGAGAGCCGTTTCCGCTTGCTTTGACCACCTGAGGCCTACAACGAGTCCTTCTCAATATAGAGTTCAAACCGAAGGCCTCCATGTTTCAAAACAGGTAATTAAGATCTGCCTAGAAGTCGAAAGACTAGATGTTGCTCCAATGAAGTAGAGGATGTTCTTCTTGAGGTCCCCATAAAGACCGTTCTTGCCACAGTCTATGACTCTCAGGGATCTTGTATAATTAATTACTCTTGGTCCAATCACTTCAAGCATTTGTCGATCCACTTATATATAGATCCATTTAAGATATTATGTCAACCTAAGTGTCTGAAGTGTCATCCGTCTCTTCCCCCTGTGTTTCTCTCTGAACAATAAAGAAACAAAACACCCACTTAGATCCAGTTTTAAGGGTGGATGAGATGGAAACCCAACAGCTGTGGTCATTCTCCTTGGAGACAGGAGGTGACACACACACACACACCTCACCGGTCTCCGCTGCGCCCCCCTGCCGGCCTCCGTCCTCCTCCTCCTCCGAGTCGCCCGTCGGCCCGGTCATGGCGCCCTGAAGGGCCGGGATGACCGGGGGGCCCGGCGAGTTCCGGATCCGTGCTAGCGTGGCACTTGTTTCTAATAGCTTCTTGTTACTACTAGTAAGGCAC